TACAATGCACAGAACAGCCCCCACACACAACAAAGAACCATCCAGCCCAAGATGTCAAGCCAGCCGAGATTGAGAAATGCTGCTTTAAACAAAGATAAGAACAGAGTCACATTCCTGGCCAAAGGCTCTTGGCTTCCACGGGATCTTATACCCTCCTCAAAAATAGTACACAATGTTCTGATGGTCTCAAGTGCCAGAGACTGGCACATCCCTATTGTACAGTGCTTATTTTTAAAATTTATTTGGGAGAAGCAACACTTCCACAAAAAAAAAAAAAAAAAAAATCTCCAGACTGCAAAATTCAGCTGACTCACATTTCACATTTCCCTTGACTCTTAAAGGGCTGAAAAATATGTAGGCCGATCAAGCCAGAGAAAAAATTTGGTTTATATCAGTGGAAGCAGTCCCATGTTCCCACATTCCCACATTCCCGCACTCCTGGTGGGCTCTGCAGAAAGCACAGGCCTTTCTCTCCCAAACCAAGTGTCCCTTGCTGGACTCCTCTCCCCTCTATAATCTCAGGGCCCCTTCTTTCTTAGAAACTTGTTTTCTCCAGTTCCAAGTTCTTTCTCCTCAGTGCCTGCTTACAGATCTGAAGTGCTTCTCTTCGTGCACCAAAATTATAAGAGTGACATTTCTTATTAGTCCCTTGGTGTGCATTACATATTACCACAGGACAGAAGGCAGGAAGCCACAGTTGAAGATCACCTGGAAGCCTCCAGCATTTTACTTACCCGCAGGGATGGTTAAACTTTGGACTTGAAGTTACAAAACGAAGTTCTGAAGGAAATTTCCTTTGAACCCTGTGGTATCTCACTGTCAGATTGGGGCTTCTGTTTTTCCTGCCCAGTGACAGTGGCCCCTGGAGGACTGGAGCAGGCTGCCCCTGATATGATGCGGGCTGCGAGATGCAAGTTGGAATGTGGATTATGTGTGCTGCCATGACACAGGGGCTTCTTTAGCATAACTTACCCGGAAAGAGGGCCAGTGGAAAAGAACAACCTCTGTGTATTCATCTCACCAGGACCTGGACCTAGAGCCTGGGGCAGCCCAACCCTGCTTTGTCCTTAACCATCCTGGGCTGTGGGCTGGATGTGACATTTTGGACTCTTTGTCTTTTGCTCTAGGACCAAGGCCTCTTTTTAAGGAAGCAGATGACAAAAGAGAACGTGCATGAGCTGTGGTAGGAAACTCATATCTGAGGATTAGTAAAGGCCAGCCATGTTTGGCCTTGACTGAAAGCCGTTTGCTCTGAGGCCGATTTATATTTAGCTTCCTTCTGTTCTTTACAATTGGTAAAACCAGCTCCAGCAACACTTCTTTTGAAGTATTCAAAGGCCAAGAGGAGAAGTGAAAAAGAGCACAGGGTTTAAAGAAAGAAGAACCTAGCTCAAGTCTGCCACTTATGGAGCTCTGTGCCCTTGGACGGGTTCTTTCATCCTCTCTGAGTTTTGAGTCTTTTATCTGTAAAATGGGGATAAAAATATCTAGTGCTTATCAAGAGCTCTTTTAAAAGCGTCAGGTTTTATGTAAATGTTAGTTCTTATTTTGAACCTATTGAGCAAGAATGGAAGGTTCATCCTTCTGGTGGCAGGTTCTATAGGAAATGTCCTTAATGGAGCTTCAAGGTGTGGACAGGGCTCTCTGCCATTATCGCTTCTTGGGTCTTCGGTCACTCATCTTAGTCCCTTTTCACAGAAACATACAGAGGAAAGAAGCTACCACCCTAACATTTTCGTAAATGCAAAAAAAAAAAAAAAAAAATCACCTTTTCTCTCTCTCATTCCTGGCAGGGGTCAGTCATCCAGCTTGGTTGGAACATTCCCACTGAGCGGACTGCCCCACATGGCATTCCATTCTGCTAGAAAATTCTGGGGTGATGAAATGTGGACAGATACTGTTGGGAAGATAAATGAGTAACATTTGTGAAATTATTTAAACTTTTCAAAAGAAAGACCCACATGATTCCAGGGATTTTTGTTAAGATCATTGGAATTTAAAATATGGTCGTTTCATTGATTCATGTCTGTTCTAACTTTGTTTGTTTCTTGTCCCTTGGCTTTGGAGGGGCTCAGAGTAAGGCTCCACAGGCGACTCTTCTTTTTCTTCTTTTTTAACTAATCAAAATAAATAAAAGCAGGCAGAAGATGTCAGTATGTAAATGCAGCAGCCCACCAACCATCACTCTGCGGTCCCATTGTCCTCTCCACCAGCACCCCATCTCCATTCAGGTGGGTCACAGTGTGGCCTCTGCAACACTCAGCACTTTGTACCCCTACTCAAATTGTGCCCATTGATATTGCCCCTAAGACCCTGCATAGGACTCAGGTAGCCCACCTTCACCCGGTACTGAGTGATCTGCTGAGGAGACAAATGAAGACACAAGAATCCCTGACCACGAAGAGCTCACCTTTGGGCATCATGGATGAAAACACCACCCGTTGCAGCTCAGAGTGGCAGGAACTCTGAAAAGAGGCGAGTCCCCACAAAGAAGTCTGAAGATGAATCTAGAAGAATCAGGATTCTTCATGTAAGCAAAGAGAGGCAAAGGATTCTTTAGGGAGGAGGGCACCCCAAGGAATGGAGATAAGAGGAGGCAGGGAAGGGGTATAGGGAAGCCACTGGGAACACCTGCCTCAAGCTGGGCATGGGAACACAGGACAAGGGGGGACTCGGCTTGAGAGAGAAGGCTATCACAAATCCACAGTAACACTGTTTGCCAAAAGAAGAGGCTGGACTTAATAGAAGGTGATGGAGCCATTGAAGGTGCAGCCAAGGGTCACCTTGGAAGATGAGCAGGAATGCAGATGTCAAAATGAGAGAGCAGAGGAGGATGAAGAAGCAGAGACTGAGGACCCCCTCCGTGGGGGCCAGACACAGACGTCAACGGCAGCCTTCCTGAGCTCACCTCAATCATAGATTCTTTTTCAGCCTCAAAGACAGAAGCCACGATTTCCAAAAGACAGATCCCTGCAAAACGCTTAGAAAGCACTTGCTGGCACTCCACAGGCCCGGAATTTAGTCTGAGGAAAGGCAAATGGTGCATTTTTGTGTGGTCCTGATAGCAGTCATGACTAGGTTGATAAGTTGGTGAGTCCAGAGAGAAAACACATTGGGAGGGGACCCTTGGGTATGGTCTGCAAATTCAATTATTAAATAATTCCAATAACTGTAGAGAGACTTGGAGGTGAATTGACATGTGAGTTCAACAGATGCCAACAAGGACTGTGAAACCTCCAGTATCACTTTTCTTTATAATTTCTCACAGGTGGAACTTTTCCCATTTGAAAATAATTCTGACTAATTATATTATTTATAACTCTAAATAATAATTCACTGTTTAAAGGGGGAAAAAATTTTTTGAGTGAAAGCCCAAGGAAGGCAGCTGGAGATGGAACAGGTATTCTTGGAGATGTGAGGCTTTGCCTTGCAAAAAAAAAAAAAAAAAAAAAAATACCTGGCTAAAGATTTCCTTTGATGATCCCAAGTCAAAGAAACTATAAAAGAGTGAAAAACATACTGTTTATTTAGCAAAAGGACTATTGCCTTACCAGGTTCCGTATCTCTAAAAGTTGGTTTTAGATCCATCCTGAACATTATGCAATGTTTGTAGAGTGTTCTGATTTCAATCAACAATAGGCCCGGTAATGAAGAGACAAAGGAAGATCTAAGACTCCTGCATCTGGTTACAAGGCTAAGCAACCTGGGTGATGTCTTTACATCATAAGAGTAAAGAGTCCAGAGAGTGACAGAAAGCACGTCTTCTTTCTCCAGCTCAGACAGAGAGAAACAGAGCCCTAAAACTTTCAAGTTACTGATCTAAAACTTTGAGAATAAGAAGTCAGTTCCAGGAAACTAGTTGCATCATTTCAGTGGGCCAGAGCAGAAAATCATGACCTAAATTTTATAATTCTTTCCAAATTTTCCAATTATTTGATGAAGCATTAATGCTTTGGGATCTAGGATCCTTGAAGTCTTAAGACAGTGCCCTCAACACTCTGATAGGAGACTCTATGAAACCAGGTTTAATACTAGAATAAGGAGAAAAGAAAGTTCCTGCTCTGTAAAAAATCAGATTCTTCTTATAACATCACCACCCTCACAGTTTTCCCAGCATATGTACAAGAAGCAATTATGATGCCAAAGTATGAAATACAGCAAGTTTCATAACCAGAATGAATTATGGTTAATCTTCCTGTAGTAAACAATCCACTTTTCCAATCTGTGCTCCCCAGACAGCTGAGTCAGGCCTTGCTTTCCAAGTGCCTACTTAAACAAGTAGCCTGTCGGGCAGTTGCACGGGCAGGGCTGCTAGGTGGTGTAGACAGCCCATCTCTTTGGAGTTGTGTGCAGGGGACTAGAAAGCAATGGCTCTTGTGAAAAGGAGATGCTATGCTGAAGAAAAAAAAAGAAGAATGCATGTAAGTTAATACTTATTTTTTAAAATCCTGAAATTCAAACATTCTGGCTTTTGAAACAGAATGAATGTTCTCTAATTCCTCAGGCCAAAACTCTTCCAAGCTGGAACTACCACCCACCATTAGAACTGCCAATTCCTGAGCACTTCTCTGCCGGCGCTGAACCTTGCATTGGACCGGCCAATCATTCATCCAGCGCTCCTGCCCTAATTCACATGATCGCACCACCGTGTTGCCAAGTGGTTTTTTTGTTAGGTTTGGGTTTTATTTAATTTTTTTCATGTGTTTGATTTTTGCTCAAAGAACAGACAACCTCCACATGCAGCCATAGGACCTCCCTTTTTCTCTCAAAAGCTCCAAAGATGAGACATCTAGAAGCTGAGAGTCAGCGTCTAGGAGAGATGTCCTCTCCTAGTGCTTGGACCATGGGACTAAGTTAGCTGGAAAAAATCAAAACAGGCACTGAATAAGTTCATAAGACTAACCTAAAAATGTGACAGACATGGCCTTGAACATAATGTGCGGGGAGCGTGTCTCCTTATGGTGTGTGTCTTTGCTCAATTGTCACTGGTTCCTTTGCAGAACTCCCTGGCTAAAGCTGCTGTGAAGGAACTGGCCTCGCTGCACGGCACCAAGTACACCTACGGCCCCGGAGCCACCACAATTTGTGAGTCTGGGCTTCCCAGCTGTGGAAAGAGACAATGCGCCAAAAAAGCCAACAAATGGCTCCCAGCACCTTTCTTCTCCAGTCACTTAAAGCATGGGGTTTTTGCCTTACAGTGATTATTATGAACGCTGTAATCATTTTTCTGTTAAGAGAGAGAGAAAGAAAGAAACGTTTTTCAACCCACAGAAACATTTGCTCTCTGTACACATCTACTGAGCAGCTGTGGTGTGGGTGTTGCAGGCACTCAGTGGGTGTGTAGAGAGAAAGGAAGGGTGGAGAGAGGGAAGGACGCAGGGAAGAGAGGGAAGGAGGGGGACCAGTGCATTCTTCAAAGAACCCACAGTAGGGAAGCAGGAAAAGTGGTACAGGCGCTAAGAGCTATGACAGAGCTGGTGATACGGGCGCTAAGAGCTAAGACACGGGGATGCACAAGTGAAGAACACACTGACCAATCCGCCCTGCAGTATCAGGGTCACTTCCCAAGGTAACAGCCCAGAACATTACCTGGAAGGACCTCTGCTGGGAGAAAGCATAGCGGACATGTTTGCCTGGCTAGGCAGACAACAGTGTGAGGGCTCCCTGGGGCACAGGCTGCCTGTGAGGGGGTAGAGAAGCCCCTCTGGCAGTCCCCACTGGGTGCAAGCACGAGGAAGAGACACACAGCGAGAGAGCTGGGCAGGGCTGGATCACTGGGCCCGGATGCTGTAGAGATCAGCCTTCTCTGCAACAGCACATTCCACGGGACCCATTTTCAATTTTTTCTTTTTCTATTTTCCTCTTCCCTCAAGTGATTTCTTTCTGCCCCCAAATCTGAAAGGAACAGAAATATATACAAAAATAAATAAATAAATAAGACCCAGTCCTGTCACCAAGGAGCCCGCAATGCAGATGGTCCAGCTCCAGTCCTGAGCTGTTGGGGGTTTTTTAAGCTCAATATAGAATACAATTTTCCATATTCTCGGTTTTTTAAAACTGAAAAATTTAAATATTTTTCCTAAAGAAGTTCTAATAGAAATATCTCACTTCTTTAAATAACTCACTTTTTCAAATAACTCACTTATTCATAGAGTGTGAACTTCCTGTATACTATACGCCATTCACACTAGTTCCATGAGGTTTCTGTTTCCATTACACAGGACACACTTACAGGGCGGGGCAGCATCTGTCTTTTGTCCTGTCATCTCTGGACTTGAGCACATGACCAGCTCAGTGGCGGCTGCAGAGTTGTTGACTGAATTAGTAGATTAATCAGTGAATGGATGAATACGTGGTCTACATGTCAGTGGCAACTGTTGAGTGAGTTGCTGACTGCATGGATGCCAGCCACGATTATTCCAGCTCCACGTTAGACATGGAGGATAAAGAAACGCAGGCCCAGCGCTGCCCTCTGGCTGCTCCAGTTCCATCCTTCAGTACAGTTTCTGCGGGGCTCGGAGTCCAGTGATCCTCCCACCCACTGCTCAGTTTTCCTGACTTTCCTAGAAGTTACACATTCTTTTCCCAGATATTATGTAGATTTTGTAATCAAACCACATACTAAGCGGTGTAGTGCACCTTAGCACATAAGCATACTGAGAATTGGGTACAGCAAATTACACACTTTCTGGAGTGTCCAACATGTCACTCTCAATATCCAGAGGTAAGATTGACTAAGTGTTTAAAACTCTGTGATCCCGTTTACTAAAAAGTTGATCTACCCATAATATTTCACACAGCAAAATATTTGTCAATATAAAAGGAAAATGACAATAATTTTAACCTCCTTTCTGCACATAAAGGGTTTTTTTTTTTTTTCCCTGCTATTTGCTCATTTCAGACCTTGCCGCTGGCGGCTCTGATGACTGGGCTTATGACCAAGGAATCAAATATGCCTTCACCTTTGAACTCCGAGATCAAGGCAGACATGGCTTTTTGCTTCCCGAGTCCCAGATCCAGGCAACCTGTGAGGAGACCTTGCTAGCAGTCAAGCATATGGCCGGCTACGTCCTGGAACACCTGTACTAGTGGAAAATTCCAGAGCCTTCTCTCAGAACCCTCGCTGTGCGTTTCTGGTCTATCCTGAATTCTTACTTTTGTTTGTTCGGAGGTTTTACAGATCCTAATCTTTCCTTTAAACTTCTGTGTCTACTGAAAACTTGGGTCTTTTACAATAGATCACAATAAAACAAATCGTTGTAAAAGCAAAACATGGAAGATGGTCTACTTTGGTGGGGGGAATGCTGTGTATGATTGAACAAGCAAGCTGTGTATAGTGACTAAGTGTCACCTGTAGAGGACTTAAAAAGTCTTTGGGGAGCCAGCCAACATTAGCAGAGTGCACAGGTTATGATAGGGGGCTTAGGAAGTGAGAAGAAATAAAAAGGGAAATGGAGCATTGCAAACCCTGGTGTAGATGAGGAGGTGCCTCTTGGTCTGGCTTTTCACCTGAGCTAGTTCAGGTTCTATAATGAGCTGCCTAGTGCCTTCGAGAGCTGTGCTGAGCACTCCAAGACAGAACAGTGAAATAGAACATGGTGACACTTCTGCCCTCATTGGGCATACAGGCTATGGGAGAAGACAGATATTAAGCAAAAAAAAAAAAAATGATTGACAGACTCTAGAAAAAGAAAAAGAAGTTACTTCCTGATGTGGAGAGAAGACCCTCTCAAAGAAGTGGTGCAACCTGCAAAATGAGTCACCATGAGCTGGACATGGAAGGTGCCGGAAGATAAGCCACAAGGGTAGAACAGGGAGAGTGAAGGAAGGAAGCTATGGGCAGGCCTGGGGGAGGGGAACAGGGTCGACCTCAGGAGAGCTTAGAAGTTGTGTTTAGGACCTGGAACACTGGCCTGAGAACAAAAGGAAACCACTGAAGATGTGAGGTTTAAATGACATGGGAAGAGTCTTTTCTGCACACCAGGACAATTGAGAGTGCTAGGCACCCTGGCTGGATCAGCTGGGCCAAGGAAAGAAGCTGAAGACCACTCTGTGACTTCTTCACCACGTGGCTTGATCCCATCCGGAATTATAAGCAGATGTGCCCATGTGCGAAAGGACTGCACCAATTCCAATTTTTAAAATAGAATAGTATTTATTTAGGTTATAATTTGGGAGCATCTCTTACTTTAAAATCATAGAACAAAATATTAACTATTTCCCCTATGTGGATTCAAGAAAAATAGGATTCCACATTGAGCATAATAGGCTAAAATATCTATAACATTGTTCTAATTTTTTTTTTTTTTTAGAGAGAGAGAGAGAGAGAATTTTAACATTTATTTTTCAGTTTTTGGCGGACACAACATCTTTGTTTGTATGTGGTGCTGAGGATCGAACCCGGGCCGCACGCATGCCAGGCAAGCGCGCTACCGCTTGAGCCACATCCCCCGCCCTGTTCTAATTTTTTTAAAAAAGAATTTCTTTTGGAGTCATAACAATTTGGAAATTATCAAGCCAAAGAATGATTAATTGCATTAATTGTCCACTAGATGGTAGTAGTGCAACTGCTACAATCTGTCAAGCAACCATCTTCAAAATAATTTAGCAATGTATCATTTAAATAGAGATCTTTGTTGCAAAAAAATAAATTCCCATGGATTCTTAGAAGCATTGATAGTAATAAAAAAAGGTGTAATTTAGCTAAGTTCACTATCCCCCACTCTACTTCACTTATACTCACATTACAACTGTGGGCTAAGTCCACCACAGTCACTTGAGTGACAGTTTTTCACTTCCTGTTCCACAGGGCTCTGCTTTACGCCATCTTTATCAAATAACATCAACCCCTTACTAATCGATGCTGTGGCCTAAAGTATGGAAATCATGGGGATAAATCAATTCACCAAAATCCTATATGACTACCTTCAAAAATAAAAAGGGAATCTAGACATAGTGGTACACAACTGGAATTCCAGCTACTTAGTAGGCTGAGGCAGGAGGATGGCAAGTTCCAGTCCTGGGAAACTTAGCAAGACCCTGTCTTAATATATAAATTAAAAAGGTACTGGGGAAGTAGCTCAGTGGTAGAGTGCTTGCCTAGCATGTGTAAGGCTCTGGGTTCAATCCCCAGTACAACAGCATAAATCAATTAGGAATATCTGTACGCTTTTCTAAAATTCTAAGGCACTTTTAAAGAGAAGAAAACAGAACAGGCAAGCAAATATGTAAATATTCTCACTTAGACATCCCACATGTCTAAGACTTCCTGCACTGAGACAGTTTTGCTAAAGCTCCTGCCCCACTTACTAAAATGTGGCCGCCTACTGTCTAGGGATCCCACTTGCTAGAGCTAAACCCAGGAAACAGAAAGAGCAGACTCTGCCTTAGTCCTGCCCAGTGCAGTAGAATCTGGAGCCCAGCTGCCCAGCTGACGAGAGATGGCCAAGAGCTCCACCCAAGAGCCTCAGGCTCTGAGGGCAGCTCTCGTCCTCTCTCCTTTGATCAGCTCCTACTCTCAGAGCCAGTACAGCAGCCAATGGGCCTTTCCTTTCATCTTCACACAACAACAGTGAACACAGGAATGGCCCCCTGAATCTTTCTTTCTCAAATGGTGTAGCTAGAAAAAAGCAAGACTGAGGTTATGTGATGGCCTACAAAAGTCCTGTGTCAATGCAGGAATATTCAGAGGTAATATGATTGGCTTGTGAGAACTCTAACTTAATCAGTGCATCTTAGTTTGAATGGACCGACTAGGTGGTAACCATAGGCAGGTGGGACATGGCTAGAGGAGGGGTCACTGACGTCATACCCTGGAAGGGTACATCTTCCCTGCAGCCTTTTCTCTTTTTCCTCTCTCTGCTTCCTGCCTGCCATGAGTTGAGCAGCTTTCCTCCGTCACACCCTTCCGCCATGATGTTCTGCCTCACGTTGGGCCCCCAGCATTAGACTGGACCTACCATGGACTAAACTTCTGGAACCATGAGCCAAAATAAACTTTTCATCCAATAAGTTGTCCTTGCCAGGTATTCCTGTCACAGTGACAGAAAGCTGACTAAGACAACTGACTTTTAGGCTTCATTTATTGAACTCCTGCATGTTAAGAATTGAACGCCGCATGTTTATCTGTTTTTTCAAGCTGAGCTCTATGAATTGGTCAAACAGAGTTTCCAGAAGGAAGAGAAGAAGCATGCTAAGTTACCAAGTAAATTTGGGGATTAAGCAAGGTTTTGATGAGTCTCTTAGGCCAGGTCATTGTGTTAAGGTCTGTAAACAAGTCAAGATGGCGCCTGGCATTTTGCAGAGGGAGTGGTTTATGAAGTAACGCCAGTGAGCCATTAAGTGTGGAGATTCCTTATTGGTTGACTGATGTATCTAGTTTATGTTAATTAAGATAAGCTGTGTGTAATGTATATATACCCCTCCTGTCCTACAATAAACGGCTCCTACTCCTGCTGTATCAATCTACTCAAGTTGTTCGTCACCCCCAGGTTATTTTGCTGCAGCCGGACTGTGGCATCATTGGACCAAGGTAGGCACTCCCCACCAATCTCACCCGACCCACGCATCCATAGACATGTCCAGAAATGCCACCTTTGCCACAACTAATGAAGAAAAACTTTCTCTGCTGCATTTACAAGGTAGTTTTGTTTGAAATGATAAGAATCCAACGTCTACAACTAAAAGCATCAAATTTTTTCCTTCAACATACCCTCAATGGGATATCTAAAGCTATTCTAGCAATTTATTGGATTGAATTTGAAGGAGGAGAATTGTTTGAAGATCCTATTAAATCACAAGAGAACTTTCATTTCCATTTTCTAGGACATTTCCTTTATAGTGATAACGTTCAAAGACATACAGAAAAGCATAGTTAAAAATAAAGTGATATTTTAAACTGTGGCTAGATAACTGTCACTACTATAAAAATCCCAGGAGTACAGAGCTCAAAAAAATGGAAAATTATTGCTGTGTGAAGCATTCAACTTTAAATTGCCTTTTAAAGAGACTAGTTTCACCTATGGTACACCACAGTCTTACATAGTCACCCTAAAACAATACAATGTCCAGTAAACATTCATCCTACCCCATACATATGACAAAACCTTTTATAAGTCTTGATTTGTTAATAGAGAATTACAATGAACCTTATATGGGTGCCAAGAAATAGCACCCACTTTGAGAGAAAGTTCTAGAACATTTTTGAAATCCATCTATTGTACTTTCAACAGAGACTAAACAGAATGGGGGCAGGGTGGGAAGGAGTTTAGATGCATTACATGGCCACATCTTATTCAGAAACAGACAACTATGAAATGCAACAGATATTATGGATCTAAAGATGTTCTTTTATTTATCATCAGAATCTTATCCTGAGAGATACCAGTGTCCTTAAAAACACTCATGTAGATCCCCAAAGGAAATGGAAGTGTCCTTCTCCTTAGATAGAAAATTGAAGCCCTCTCCATAGTGTTAAAACCCCTCACACAGCAAAAGTGTCAACAAAATGTATCAGAAAGCTAGAATTAAGGGAGATTTCTAGTTTTCATCTTTTCAACTTCTCTGTATTTTGCAAAATTATTTTCAGTGATCATTTGTAACTTTTAGAGTCTAAAACTAAAACTCCAAAAAGCAAAGTTACAGCATCAAAAAAAAAAAACTTTTTTTCTTGAAGTTGTACAATCAAAATAAATAGGGAGAGAAGTTGTATCCTTAAAGATCACAGATACTACTTCAATCTACCTTGTGGTATGTGCTGGCAATCATCAATCTGCACCCAGCAGTCACCAACACTAAATCTCTGACCATGCCTAGAAGCCATAGGTGTGGTTCTTAGCTCCTACCAGATACCCGTCCCCCGTTGCACCATCTCAGACTCTCTAGAAGCACTGGTTAGAGCCATTAGCAGGCAGCCTGCTCAGGGGCTGCAGCTCATGTCGGAGAGCCCCTCCAAGGGTGCAGCTTCCTAAATGCCAGCTCCATCTCTGCCTTTCCACTGTGCCTAGTCCAACACACCTTTAGTCAAAGCAGTGGAGCAAGCATTCATTCACTTTGGGTGTTTCTAGCTGATGAGCCTGGTCAAGGTCAAGTACATGAAGACATTTGTAAAGCCCTCCTCTTCCTTATCTTCAGGGTTGAGATGGGGAGTCCCTCGTGGGGGAAGATCAGGAAATCTGAAGTTATATCACACACCCATCAGATGAAGAGGAAGGAACAGCGTTTTTTTTGTTGCTCTACAGATAATGGGGCATCTGCTCATTGGTATTTCTTT